GTGAGGGGCTGGGGGGCTGCAGGTGAGGGGATGCAGGTGAGGGGCTGCAGGTGAGGGGATGCAGGTGAGGGGCTGCAGGTGAGGGGATGGGGGTGAAGGGATGCAGGTGAGGGGATGCAGGTGAGGGGCTGGGGGGCTGCAGGTGAGGATCAGGGCCCCTCGGGGCCATGACAGGTGCTCAGAGCTGCTCTTTGTCCTCCCCGGAGACACGGATCTGTCAGAGGGTGTCCATCCCCCAGTGCTTTGGCCTGGGGTGATGGAACAGTGGAACACCCTGAGCTGGGAGGGACCCTCAGGGGGTTGGTGGTCCAGCCCCTGGCCCTGCACAGACACCCCAACAATCCCCCCATGCCTGGGAGCTGTTCCTGCAAGAGCTGCCCATCACTGGAGCTGCAGGGTGCAGGGACAGGAGCTGAGCCCCAGTTTGTCCCCCAGCTGCTCCTTGCAGATGTTGTCAGCAAGGGAAGCAGGACGTGGCGTTTGTGGTGTGACCCATCGTCATCATCCTGATGTTCTCTTGGCAAAGCTCCCCGGACTGGGGAGTCTGATGGGCTCTCCCAGCCCGTGCCTGGCCCCAGCAGACACCTGATGATGAAACCTTCTGCCTCTCTGTTTGCTGGGATTTTCAGGGCAGGAGTTGGTTTGTGTTTTCATCCTTGCAGAGGGCCCAGCAGTGCAGGACTTCATGGAGCTCAGAGCTTTTTAACAGCTATAACAAATACTGAAAACTCCAGTTAATTCTTTTCCATTTGTGCCTTTTCATCTTCAGCTCTCAAAAACTGGTTTGAAAACATCAATTAAGCTTCCTGTTGTCTGTTTCCAAGATCAGCGGGGGAGGAAACTGAGGCACAGGTAAAAATTATCTGAAGTCTTCTAACGCTATTACAGTGACTGAGTCATCTTGTTTTGGGCCACTGGATGCAGGAGACCTTGGCTCTGCTTCTGTGTTGCCATTCAGGTTGGGGGGGTGCCAATAGTTTCTGAAAAATGTGCTGTTAAGCTGACAAAAATGTAAACAATTGTCATTCCTCAGCTTTGGGGTTGGAAGGAATCCTCATCCTGAGGCTGACTGAGCTGGGAATGCTGGCTGGAAAAGCCTCTGGAGAGCTGGGACCTGGCTGAGTCTGGAAACCTCCCAGGGATGGAGACCTCACCCAGCCTCTCTGGCTGTTGGACCCATTGGTGTGTATTAATGCATATTGCATTGATGGAGAAGCAGCTCCCAACGTCCACTCTGAGCCTCTCCAGCTACAAATTGTGGCTTTTGCCTCTGGTTTGGTCACCTGAAGTGCTGGGAACAGTCCTTGTGCATTTGTCTGTGGGACACAAACTCCACATTCTGTCATCACCTGGGAGCCTGTCATGGAGTCACAGGATCCCAGAATGGTCTGGGTTTAAGTTTTCGATGCAGTTCTGAGGTGTTTGATATCTTGTACTAAAACTGAAGCAAACCAATGGCTTTTAACAATTGTGATGTTTGTAAGGGAAATAAAATTTGTTCTTGTCTGTCCTGTGAAGAGTTGATGAAATGAAGTTTTTTTTACAGGAACAGGGAACTCAGAAATGAGTCCTGTGTATTTTGGAGTGCCAGCCTGACACGACCAGTGCTGCATCCTCAGGTAACGTGTCAGTGATCCAGCTGCCAGGTGGTTCAAGGGTGTGAAGTGCCCCAGTGGGTCAGTTGTGGTGGGGATGGTGAAAGTCTCATGGCACAGGTTCTGTTTCATCCCCTGAGTGAAACAGCACTGTCTGCATGATGCACCTTCATGTGGCTGTCATGGGGCACAGGGGAATGTGAGAAGTGATAACCAGTAATTAAAATTAACCAGCAAGTTTTTAATATCTGATGTGTGGCTTTGATATTTGGGTAAAATATCAATGCTGGGATTTCCTGCTGGGTGGCAGAACTGCCTGCAGGGCCAGGACACTGGATATGGGGGATTGCAGTGTCAGAGCAAAGGTTTGCACAATCGTTTCTGTGACCCTCGGTGCTGTATGAAAGACACAGAATTAAATCAGAGATAAAATCGTCCCTAAGAGGTTTGGTGGGCGTGGGAAGGGCGTGGGAGGAAGTGGAGAAACGCGTTTGGGGAAGGGAGAGGAGCTGTGCTGGTTGGAGCTCTGTGCAGCCCTGAGCAAAGCTGCAGCATCCAGACCCCGGGCAGGACCCTCAGGTGTGAACCCCAGCCCTGCACCTGTGGGAGCCAGGAGCCCCTGTCCCTCAGCCCTGCACTGCTGCTGCACTGCTGCCTTCAGCTGTCCCTCAGCCCTGCACTGCTGCCCTCAGCTGTCCCTCAGCCCTGCACTGCTGCCTTCAGCTGCCTCTGCCTGGAGCCTCAGCCTCGAGCTTCTCTCGAAGAACCTGTGGGCTTTCTGTTGAGTGCAAACCCCGCAGGTGTGTGTGGGATTTGGAGGGTCGGGCTCCTGTGTTGGGAGCCATTCCTTGCCCTCTCTGTGGTGTGACACAGCTCAGCATTGTCCCTTTGGGGCCCATGTGACACTGGAGTTCCCACTGCAAATGTTCATCTGCTGCAGAGGAAATGCTCTTGCTGCTCTCCCAGGGCACTGACTCCATGCCATGGTACCTGCCACAGTGCCACTGTCACCTTCCCTGTGTCACCTTCCCCATGGTCACCCTCCCTGGGGCAGGCACAGGCACGAGAAGTGATGATAACGATGATTCAGGGCTGGGCCATGAGGAGCTTTGGTTCTGTTCCTCAGGTAAGCGAAGCAAACCCTTGGGATTCCAGAGCTGTCCAGGCAGCTCTGCAGAGCCCATGGAGGGGACAGCTTTGGGTCACTGTCATTCACTGCTGTGCAAAGCCCACCAACCTTTCTGGTCCCCCCAGGCCTTCAGAGCACTCTCCTGGGTCAGGACATGCTGCAGGTCTCTGCTGCTCTCCCGCTCGTCACCCCAGCAGGACCCTCCTGTCTCCTGTGCCTGCTCTGCTCCCCCAGACCTGCTCCCCTTCCAGCAGCTCACCCCAGCTCCCAGGACAGGTGGGTGGCAGATCCCTGCTCCCCTTCCAGCCACATTCCCCTCACAGCAGGGAACAGCCTGATGGTTCCTGGCTGCTCTCCCAGTATTCCAGTTCACCTTTCTGCTGCTTTTTCAGGCTGCAGGATGGTTTCCTACATGCCTGCTGCTCCTCCCTCTGCTGCTGTCTTGCCTGAGGTAGAGGTGAGCTGGGGTAGTGTAATGCTGGTTGTTTTTGGTAGATGGGAGAGGGGATGTCACTTGGGCCTGCTAAAAGTGTCCCCTCCATCTCCACCTGTGGTGGAGACCCCAGGTCCTTCTTCCCCAGAGCCACAGGCCTCCTTTGCACTCCCCAGCTCTGGCCAGCTTTACCCCTGTGAACTGCTGCTTGCTCAGCTTCCATCACACAGAGCTTTGCATGGACAGAGGGAACATGGAATCCAGAGATTCCTGTATCCCAGAGATTCCTGTATCCCCCAGAGATTCCTGTATCCCAGAGATTCCTGTATCCCAGAGATTCCTGTATCCCAGGTACAGCCTGACTGGATCATCCCAGAGCACGTGGGGCTGGAACAGCCCTGCACTGCAGCCCCACTGCCTCACCTGGGGGCAGGTTTCTCACTGTGCTGCGTGTGACAGGCCTGAATCATCACCTGTCCTTGGGAACAGCTATGCCAGGAATATGTATTTATGTACATAAAAGCATAAATGCCGGTGCCTGTGTCCTGGTTTTGGCTGGGATAGAGTTAATTTTCTTCCCAGTAGCTGGTCCAGTGCTGTGTTTTGGATTTAGCGTGGGAATAATGTTGGTAACAGCCCATGTTGTAGTTGTGGCTGAGTTGTGCTTACTCCCAAGTGAAGGACATTTCTCTGCCAGGGAGCAGAGGCACAAGGAGTGGGGAGCATGGCCAGCAGAGCTGATCTGGACGGGCCAGAGGGATATTCTGTTCCACAGAGCATCCTGCCAGAACAGAAACGGGGCTGGGAGCTGTCTGCCACTGCTGTGCGACGAGCTGGGTCAGGGGTGATGAACAACCGTGTTGGGCAGCTCTGGCAGGGAGGAATTCCTTCCCAATATCCGAGAGCCCTCTCGGGCCGCAGGAAATGCTGTGTTGGCTTTGGGTTAATCCTCCGGTACATCTGCAAGGGCAAGAAATGACTTTGTGTCGAGGCAGAGCCTTGGGCCCTGGGAGGACGCGGAGCCTGGGCGCTGCAGGCCAGAGACGTGTCCTGAGTGCCCCGATCCCCCCAGCCCCGGCACCGAGCCCATCCAGGCCGTGGCTGCCAGCCCTGGGCCGGAGCCTTGTCCATCCGTCCATGGCGGCTCCAGGAAGGCAGCGGGACGCGGCAGAGGCGCAGCCCGGCGTGTTCTCCGTGTCAGCCGGCAAAGCCGGGGCGGGAGCGACCACATCCCGCTGCTTTCTGTGTTCTGGTGCCGAGGGGAGGCCGTGGGAGCGGGGAGGGGAACACGGGAAATGGGGTTTGCCGGGGCCTCCCGCGCCTCGTGTTCCTTTGTCCTCAGCGCGGCTGTTCCGGCCAAGCCGCCGCCATCCTCTCTCCCCCACAAACACCAACGCTCAGCCTTTCACCCTCCTCTTCCAGCACGCTGCTCTCAGGGGCCTCTTGCCAGCACTTTCCCCCATCCAATGGCTGTTTTAAGAAAATATTATAATTTTTAATTTCCTCATAGCATCAGTGGTTTTGGGGATAAACACCCTGCCTCAGCAGCCCTTTCTGTCGGCTCACGGCGCCGCGCCACGGCCCTGCCGTGTCACCAGGCCACGTTGTCACCAGTGGGGCCCTGCACAAATGCCACAAGCCCCCCTGGAGCTAACGGCCTGGGGCGTTAGAGCCCTTTTGCGGATTATTTGGTTCATTTGGATTGTTCTGTTTATTCAAATTCAGTTACTTGAATTATTCAGTTTATTCACATTGTTTGGATTATTCGGATTATTCGCATCAGGGTAGGGCCTGGAGCCCTCCGGGGGCTCAGGACCCCTCGGGGAAGGGTGGCTGTCATAGGGGGGTCATTGGAGTCTCCTGTCCCGCTGGGGCTCTCCGGGGCCGGCTTTTAGGACAATAACCGGTACCGTGCCCACGGCCCCGGGGGTGATGGAGCCCTTGGGGAATTGGGCGATTTCACCCCCAGCATCGCAGCGGAGCGGGGGCACCGGGCCGGGCCGTTGGCGGGGGATGCCCGTAGTCGCCCCCGGAGTGTTTTCCCGGTCCCGTTTCCCCCCCGGGGGTCCCCCCCGGCCCCGGGAGGCGGCGGCGGCCCCGCCCCGGCCGCGCGTTCCCGCCAGCGGCGGCCAATG